TGAACTGTCATGAGTGTTTTTCCTGTTTTGCAACTGCAAGGACACCGGTATGATCTGTGTAAAGACTCACCTTCCCTTTCACAAGGCATGAAATTGAAAGTCGAGTAAAAGTAATTTCAATTTCATAAATATGCCCCTGAATGCAAAAGCTTCTGCTCTCACAGTTTACTGAATAAAAGAGATCCTCTTACAATTAGAAGCTCCAAATACCACAAGCATATTTTTAAGAGGACTTACATTCAGGTATAATTAGAGCTAGACATCAAATCAAAACATGCACAAATATCTCTCGAAAAAGCACAGAGAAAAGAGTCAGAGTGTTGCAGAGAACACATTATTAAACATGTGAAGAAGCTCTACCTGACTCAGTCTCATCCCCAGTTACAGCCATCTCTGGTTTCCAATAATCCAGCACCACGGCAGAGAGACACCTCACTACGAAAACTCTCCTCTACCACTATCCTTTTCTGCTTTACTTAAATCTCCTTTGCTCCCGCTTCTCCTTTCCTCTCAGCTCTCTGTATCAGAGTGCTCACTTGCCAACTTTACAGCCTGATTACAATTACAGGCATTGACATCACAATGACATCACTACTGCCCGCTGAAGTCAGTAAAACACCCTGGATTAGAGTTCCTCCCACCCTCCCCTCCTGCAGAGGAGTAACTGAAGTACAGAAACACAATGTGAGCCAGGCAGGAACGGAGGGAGGGAGGGAGGGAGGCAGGGAAGGCGGGGAGCTAATGGGGGGAGGGCGGTAGCTGAGGGGGTGTATTTTTAGCTCCAGTGACGCAACTAGAGCGACACTCAACAAACAAGAGGATATTGTGTCCCAAGCGGCTGCCATGCAAACTGTTGAGCTCCCTGATTCAAGTTGTGTGTGTGTGTGTGTGTGTGTGTGTGTCTGTGTGTGTGTTTTGGAAAGTGTTAAGGAAGTAAGAAAATAGTAAACATGGATAATGAAGGTTTTACATTTTTTTTCAAGTTTAAGCAAACGTCCATTACTTATCCTGCTGAATTCTACAAAACAGTTATTTAACCAAACCTGTGAAAACAATATTAACCACTTAGTTTCCTGACGGGTCTTTGGTGGGAAAATCAGCAGCCAGGATGGAAAGGACGTGAGTGAAATTTATGGTATTACTAATTAGGAGGATCATGCATTATTTTTATTTTATTTTTTTTATTTGACAATTCTTGGCACTGTCACAGCTCAGCCTAACATTTGCAGGGCTTTTACTTTAGACAGAAACCTGCACTCTAACTCCTGGTAATATCGAGAAAAGAATACCAGAGGAACGAAAATAAAGACAGCAAGCAACATTGATTATTGTTGGTTAACCATTGATTCTGAAATCAATTCAAAAAGGGAAACTCTGAACCTCTTAGTCATAGCAATATGCGTAAAAAATGTTGCTATGACTTTTCACCATGGTTAAAACAATCCTGATTAACTATGAGTACATCCACAGCCCTGCTGCTGAGCAGCTCGATTAGCTTTGTTGTTAATACAGAGCTCTTCAGCTGGAAGGAACAAATTAGCCCGAGCACATAGGTGGTTCTGTTTGTGCCAGCTGGATATGGACTTATGGACTGATAAGGTAAATAACACAGTGTCAG